GGGAGGGCCTTTCGCAGGATGGGTCGGCACAGAGGCCCAGCAGGGAGCGAGGACGGTGTGGGCTGAGGCAGGATTTTGACTCGGGGTCACCAGATCTCAGAACTGATTGACACCTGACAGCCGGACCACACTGGCTGAGAGCTGCAGAAAGGGAGACAGAGTGGAGGCCACCCAGCAGGGATCCCGGGGGGTGTCAGTCGTGAAACCAGCCCGGGCAGGCTATTGATGGGGTGGGGGCAGCACTGTGATAGGCTGAGGAGGGTGGTGTGACAGCCGGTGGCCTGTCCTGTAGGAGGTGGACATCTACACTGTCAAGGTGGAGGACCTGACCTTCACCTCGCCCTTCTGCCTGCAAGTGAAGCGGAACGACTACGTGCACGCCCTGGTGGCGTACTTCAACATCGAGTTCACACGCTGCCACAAGAGGACCGGCTTCTCCACCAGTGAGCAGGGCGGGCGGGGGCCAGACACCAGGCCTGGGGGACTCTGCAGGCCCACAGCCCTGCCGCTGCCCCGCCGTCAAAGGCAGGCGCCTCAGAACCTCGGTTCCCTCCCGGCCCTGGTGTAGACCACCAAGCACCGGAAGGTGGTCTAGGTTTGAGTCGGCCCAGAGGGGCCTCGGCAAAGGCCTGTGGGGCACATGGGGCCCTGGAGTCAGTGACTGCAGCAGGGGGTGGTGTTTAACCTGCTGTGTGAGAGCCGGCTGTTCTGGGCAGGGGACCCGGGGCCAGCAGGGCCCAGGACACGGTGACAGGGCGGTCAGTGGGGCAGTTGGCTCACAGAGCCCCGGCCCGCAGGCCCCGAGTCCCCCTACACGCACTGGAAGCAGACCGTGTTCTACATGGAGGACTACCTGACTGTCAAGACTGGGGAGGAGATCTTTGGCACCATCGGCATGCGTCCCAATGCCAAGAACAACGTAAGCTGCCACCCCTGTGGGGGCAGAGGGCCCTGGGTGCGAGGGAGGAAGAGGGGACCTTTCCTGGTGGTTAGGGCTCTGCAGTGAGTTGAGATGGGGAAGCTGACGGGCCTGAGGAGCACTGGGGGCACGAGGTGGGTGGGTGGGAGCCCAGTGCACAGCCAGGGGCAGGGGGACATTGAGTCGGGACTACAGGTGATCGAAGGAACTGGTGTGGCTGGAGGGTGGTGGGGGGTCTGCTAACAGCGACCTGGTCCCTGTCTAGACTAGGGAGGAGGTAGCAGCTGTGATTCTGTCCCCAGCGGACTTTTGTCAACGTTGACCGTTAACTGGCTGCCTTCATTTGGAGATGAAAGGAGAGGCTGCGGCCACGCCATGTGCTGGCTCAGTTGAGACAGGGCCCCCCCCGTAGAAACACTCTTCCCTTAGTGCTAAAAGCCACCAGGGCAGGGAGCCATGAGAAGGCTGTTGGGCGCTCCAGCCACCTCAGGGCGCTGAGGGGAGAGGTCTGAGGGGGTTACTGACTTGCCCAGCATCTCTGGGTGGACATCAGGGGTGGTGGCTGCCCGGAACTTTGGGAGGAGAGGAAGGAGGGGCTGAAGGACCAGGGGTTTTGCTGTAAAAGGTAGGAGGAGGGGCAGGGCAGGTCCTGGAGCCAGAAGTGAGTGGTGACAATTCTTAAAAAGCATCTGGGCTTTGCATGAACAGGGGAGCTCAAAGCTGGACCCCAGGAGTCCTGGAGACAGGAGATGCCCAGAGTGAGGGGCACGTAGAGCTGACACTTGGCATCAGTGTTCAGGGGAGGCTAGCACTGTGGAGGTGGCTCAGAGCAGAGCATGAGTGTCTCAGGGACGGGGTGTAGAGAGAACCAAGGGCTGAGTGCCAGGCTTAGGGTCCCACCTCAGTTTAAGTGACAGTGTAGCCGTCCCAGGGAGAACTTGGGGTCTGGGAGGGTTCGTGGGCAGGACACAGCCCCTGACTCCAGGCTCTGGTCCCCTCCCCGCAGCGCGACCTGGACTTCACCATTGACCTGGACTTCAAGGGCCAACTGTGTGAACTGTCCTGCTCCACCGACTACCGGATGCGCTGAGGGCTGCTGCCCTCTGGGGCCCAGAGCTGCGGTGTTCTTAGGCGGTTTTGAGGGGTCCCCCTTCCTCTCCCTCCCTCCCACTGAAGGGGGTCTTAGGGGCTGGGGCCAGGGTGGGGGGCCACATCGTGACTGTGTTTTTCATAACTTATGTTTTTATATGGTTGCTTTTACGCCAATAAATTCTCAGTGGGACTTGGCTCAGTGTTCTCAGGACCAGGTGGGATGAGGGAGTGCTGTGTATGTGCCCAAAGGGCTGGACGGCACAGCCTGTCTATTCTCAGACTGGGCTGCAGTGGGTCTGTTCCTTTCTCCTAAGCCTTGGTCTCTTTTTGGGGTGTCTATCCCCTTCTTGTGACCTGTGGGATTTTGCTTCTCTGTGAAGGTCTTTGGGAAGAATAGGGTTTGGGTCATAGAGGGCACTCCAGTTTTACTGAAATGGAAATAGAGGCATTTCCTGTGGCTCCCTCTGAGAACACCCCTGATCCTCTCCCTGGCTCCAGGACAGTGTTCACCCTTTATCTAGTCAGATAGTGCCCAGGTCCCACTTGTCGCCACTTGCCTACTGACCCTGCTTGCCCCTGTGTGCCACCTGGCACAGCCTGTATTCTGGAAACCTGGCCTCGGAGACTTCAGGGCTGAACTGACCCTTCCTGTCAGTGGGAGGGACAGTCACGAGAGCCCAGGACTTCCTCCTCCCCTTCTGGAAACCTGCTGTGTTCCCACTTGCTGTGACCAGAGACAGTACAAGAAGCAGGGACCTGGGTTCGGATCCTACCTCTGGCACCTTGTGGCCTATTCTCACTTTTATTAGACTGGGTTTTTCTTGAGAGTGGGGTTGCCACTGATGGTCCCTGAGTCGGCCAGCTGCTTCCTATGACCCTGTCCTTGGCAGAGAGGCAAAGCCATGGCAATGGGGCAGGGAGGAGAAGCAGCTGGGGAGTTCTGGGACCTCTGTGCCACATCTGTGAAATGGGTACGTGACCTGTAAGCGCATCCTACTGGTACAGGACATGTTCAGCTGCTCCCCCCTCAATATGCCCATTTCTGGAGGAGTCTGGGCCCAGTGTGCCATCTCCTACCACGTGGATGTCCGTTTTCTGACCGAGGCCTCAGCTCGAGGAGGGCTGAGAGCTCTGCAACAGTTAGGGGATACCACCAGCAGTGGGTTCCAGAGCCCCACTTCACATCCTGGACCCCAGCTCATAATGGTTCGGAGGCCTCACTGCATGACATCAGTCTAATGACCTTGGGTCACGATGCCAACTTTGGTTACCCAAATTCCCCCCCCCCCAGGGCATCCTGAAGCTCCTTCCCACTTTGTGGGGCTGGGACCAGGCAGAACAAATAAGACCAGAGTTTAGCAATGTGGGATTTAAGTTTCTATCTACACCCATTTCGACCTCCCGTACTGAGCCCGCTCCCTAACATCCACCTTCACACACGTTCCTTAGACTGATTTGAAGCGAACGTTGCTCCTTTGCGCTCACTCAGTCCTCCCAGCTGAGCCCAGCCCATCCTCAGGGTGGACCCCCTCGCTTTGACTCGACACTCCATTCATGTAAAATGCTATTCCCGGAAAATGGCAATGAGCTTGCAAGCTGAACCTCACTGAGAACGAAGGGGGGCGCCCAAGAATCGAGGGCTTGGAGGACAAGAGCGGCCTAAACCCAGGGAGACCAAACGGAGACCGTGGTTTTGCGAACCGACAGGGGCTGGGAATCGAATGGAGGGACGAGATTGGTCACGGCAATTCGAAGTGGGCGGGGATAGGAAGCAGGGATTCGAAGGGGGCGGGGATAGAACGCGGAGACTGGAAAGGGATAAAACCACTGGCCTGAATTCCCAACTAAACGCACTCGAGACAGAAATCGGGGTTCCTGGGTGTTGGGAGAACCGGGGATGAGGCAGGAGCTGCGGGAGTCCGTGGGCCAAATCGTGGCTTTCACACGGGAATTGGACGTGCAAACAAGAGCCCGGAGGCCGGCGCTCTAAATCGGGGTAGGAGGGAACTGTCACGAGCTTGGGTCCCGGCATGCGATCTGAGGACCCCTGATCCAGAGTGGTGAGTAGCCCGCTGCGCGGGCTGGAGGTCTGGACCCTAGGCTGGGCGTCCCGGCCTCTCCATCACCTGTCCTGTCACTCGCCTCTGCTCCCAAGCCTCAAGCATCCTGCTGTGAAGCATGCGCAGTGGGGAACTTTCCCTCCATCCGCTCCTGTCTGGGGCGGGGGTGTGGATGGGGGTGGGGAAGGGACCCAGGGCCACCTCGGGCGGATGAATTTATCATAGACACCTCCTTCCACCGCCACTGGGACTGGGAAGCGGAAATGAGGTGGTCAGTGCCAGCATCCGGCAGGTGCTCCTTTGATAAGGGGCTAGATTTATGGTTTTCTCTCCAAATCCCAAGACCCACACCCTGGCATGTCTTCCCGGCCCCATCCCCGAATTCTGAAGAGTCCTGGGGCGGGAAGGGGGGCTGCTCCCGCACCTCGTTCTTAGGCAAGCACCACAATGCGTTAACGGAGGTTAATCCTCCACATCTCTTCGTTCACAGCTCCCCCCACAACTGACGCCTCCCTCATCCACAAACCAGAATCTCCACTGAGGACCCCCCAAGACCTCTCAGCACCTGGGGCAGTGCTGGGTGAGCGGGAGGTCTGCGAGAAGCGTGGGCCTGGGTTCATGGGTCAGGGTGGATGGGGCTGGGATCCCGGGCTGGGATCCCTGACTCCTGGGTCTGAGGGAATAGGAGGGGGTGGAGGACCTGGACTCCTGGGCCTGAGAAAAGAGGGGACCAGGGACCAGCTTTTCTGATGGGGAAAGAGATGGGGAAAATGGGCTTCAAAGAAGGGACTGGAGTTAAAAAAGGTGAGGCTGGGGGCCAGGACTCCCGGGTCTGAGGAAGGAGGGAACTTGGGTCCTAGACTTCAGGTGACAAGGAAAGAAGGAAGGGACCCTGTCCTGGAGAATGACCCTCTGTCCTCCTTGGGCAGGAGTGTGACATGGCTGAAGCACATCAGGCCGTGGGCTTCCGATTCTCGCTGACCGCGGACGGGGCAGAAGCAGATCTCGGGACACCGGTGTTGCAGGAGATCTACCTCTCTGGGCTTCGCTCTTGGAAAAGGCGTCTGTGTCGCTTCTGGGTGAGCAGGGCAGCACCTGGTTTTCTCCCGAGAACTCAGTTACTCACTTACCTACTTCCGGGCTGGCTGAGGCCGGTCTCCCATGGGTTCCAATCAGAGAGCCGCCTCTTACTCCCTTTCTAGGGATGTTGATGTCCACTTTCAGGAACCTTGAAGCCATATCCAGGTCGTTCTCTGGGACTTACTTCTGGGAATACCAAGCTCATTTCCTGGAAAATCCCTTTTATCTCATGTCCCCCTTTGATAAGGACCAGGTTTCAGGAGCCCCTCTCCTGTCCCCTGCCTTCTGCTTTCCAGAACCCAGTCCTCATCCCCCACAATGGAGCTCACACCGCTTGCCTTTGCATTTTCCACCTTCTAGAACTAACTGACAGAACTCTGGTGGTGCAGTGCTTAATGCACTTGGTTGCCAGCCAGGAGATCAGAGGTTTGAACTTATCTCCCACTCAGCTGGAGAAAATGAGGCAGGCTGCTCCCCCAAAACATGATAGCACTATTTTTGTTGTGGTTATGTGCCGTCCAGACGATTGTGACTCATAGCGACCCTATGCAAAACAGCTCTGAAGCCTGCCTTGTCCTGAGCCAGTCTCACTAATTCCAACACACCGACCCCCATTGCACCAGTTAGTGTTTTCAATCCAGTTTCAAAACTCCTTTCCCAGCGAGCTCTGGTGGCCTAGTGGCAAGAAGCTGTACTGCAATCCCAGAGGTGCATGGTTCATCTCCTCCTGTACCTGTTAGATCTGATTTGATGGTACACACACACACACACACACACACACACAAACACAATAAATAATAAAATTTTAAAAAGAAACCCAAACTCCTTTGCATCCCTTACCTTAGTTCAACTGCATGTGGCTTGAGTTTCTTCAGTACGATGGGGATGGTTAGACTAGCTACCTCACTGGGGTCAAGGGATGAAATTGATGTAATGGTGCATCTGGAAGGTGGAATCCTACCTGAGCCCCCTGGAAACCTTTCCCATGACTGGGAAGACCCCTGTAGCATCAACATCTGGAGTGCCAGGTCTAAGAACTAATGATTTAAAAACAAACAAACAGCAGACCGCACACCAAAATAACCACATTGACCAGTACATTTCTCATTAACCTAAAGGAAAACTATTAAGTAAATAACTCACGGTGACCCCGTGTGATGAATGTATTATTGTGATGTGTGGGTGAGTGGATTCTAACTCCCTGTGATCCCATGTGGAAATCTCCCGTAGCCTTTCCTTTGCTACCATTTTTATGACAGCCAGTCACTGTGTCTTTCTCCCACAGACAGGTAGGGTGGAATCCAACTACCAACCTTTCGGTTAGCAACTGAGCCCTTAACTTTTACACCACCAATGTGCCTTGCCTGGTCTGACTCATTAAACTCACTGCAGCGGAGTCTATCCTGATTTGTATTAGGACAGAGTAGAACTGCCATGAAGAGTTTGTAAGGTTGTCATTTTTATGGGAGCAGATTGTCACATCGGGCATCTGTGGAGCTGCTGGGTGGGGTCCAATGCCAACCTTTCCACTAGCAGCCAGCCGCTTAACCACGGCGCCATCAGAGCTCCCTGCCTGCCCCGCAGTAAACATGCATTAAATGTCAGTTGTCATTTCTGTCACACTTCCCTGAGGATCTGGAGCTTTGCTGCTTCTCAGAACCAGGTTGTTCTAAAAGATCTCTCAGGGGATCAGTTGCCTTTTTGGCAGTGTCACTTTCAAAGCCCTGGAGTCACCTCCTCCAGGGAGTCCTCCCTGACTCCCTCAGGCTGAGTACCCAGTCTCCATGAGGCTTCCCTCCCCTTGCCTGGAGACACTGCCAGTCCCATACCGTCTGCCTGACCTGAGCTCTCTGGAGGAAGGGTCTGCATCTCTCTGCTCTCTGCTGGACCTCCTGCATGCAGGGCTCAGCACAGGTGGGGTGTGCTGAACAAATACTTAGGAGTGGCACAGAGCAGGTGCATGGAGGTGGAGGGGAGGGATTGAATGGATGTTCTTCCTCCTTGCAGAACGACTTCCTCACTGGGGTGTACCCCGCCAGCCCCCTCAGCTGGCTCTTCCTCTTTGGTACAATCCAGCTTGCCTGCTTCCTCCAGCTGGACCCTTCTCTGGGACTCATGGAGAAGATCAAAGAGTTGCTGCCAGACTGGTGAGGTTCCAACCTCCCCCCATACACTCCCCAAACTCCCCTCCCTCTCCCAGGTAAGATTCTTTGGCAGTGTGGCGGGTCTGCCAAAGAAAAGACTTTGGGTCAGATTAATAAAGGTAGAGCATTCAAGAAAAGGAGGTGATTTTCCTCTCTTCTGTCAGCACATTTCCCCCATCTGGATTGCTTTTGCTAAGAGGGATGGTGACACATAAGAAAAGGTCTATACTGAAAAATGAAAAACGAACTCTCTCTGCAGTCATGTGGTCTTAGGCAAGAGATATCAGCATTCTGTGCCAGGGCCCCAGCTTTCCAGTGGGGATAAGTGAGAACTGCTTATTACTTGGAAGGATTTAACAAAATCATGCGTGTGAAATGTTTCAGTATAGTATCAGGAGCCCTCCTGGTGCAGCAGGTAAATACTAGGCTGCTAATAGATAGGCCAGTGGTTCAAACCCAGTTTGTAGCTCTGGGGAAGAAAAATGAGGCTCTGCTTCTGTAAGGATTACAGCCTTGGAAACCCAGGGGTAAGTTCTTACTCTGTCCTACAGGGTGGACTCAGCAGTAGCGAGTTGAATTAGGTTTTTTAAAAAAATTATTTTGTTTTTTAATTACTTTTAATGAACGTTTACAGAGGCTTAGGGTTTCCATTCATTCATTGTTACACTTTTCTCTCTGACCACCCCCTCTTTCCTATTCACTCTTTTTCCTTGAAATGTAAAAGGAAAACTCTTTCACTCTCATGCAATCCCTCCCCACAAGTCCACTCCACTGTGCAGCCGTCTCTCTGGACTCCTGTCGTGACAATAATACCCAATCATATGTCCCTTTTAAACAGTTCTCTCCCTCATCTGTTTCAATGCAGTATACATCATTCCGCCCCTCCTTCTCTGTCTTCCCTCAACCCCGATGTCAGTCCTGTTTTACAGCAGTGGCCCTATGCAATATTTGTCCTTTGTGACAAATATTTCACTCAACATAATGTCCTCCAGGGTCACCGATTTTGCATAATATTTCATGAGTTCCTTGTTTTTCAATGCTGCATAGTATTCCAATGTGTGAATATACCACAGTTTCTCTATCCATTCGTTTGTTGATGAGTTGAGTTAGGTTTTACTGGTAGGTCTGCAGTCGGGCCAACATGCTGTCATCAGGTAGTGTCCATGATGCTGGTCCAAAGACCATGCCTTGAAACTCACTGTCTTCCTGGAAGAATAAAATGACTCCTAATTACCAGCAGAAGAAACAACAGACATTGCCATTAATCCCAACTCATGGTGACCCCGTGTGCTAGAGAGCGGAACTGCCCCACAGTTTTGTTCGTTTTGGGTGTTTGGTGCGTTTTTTTGTTTTTGGGGTTTTTTTTTAATTAACTTTTTGTTGTGACCAGAGTACAATTTTAGAGAGGAAACTGGTTTTTGATTCAGCAATTCTTTTTATTTTATTTTTTTCCCCATTGGGCAATTCCTTTTTTGTCTGTACTTTAAAAAAATTGTTGCTTTAATGAAGGTTTACATAAAAGTTGGGTGTTCTTTCATTCATTGTTGCTAGGCAATTGCTTTTGCTTTTTTTTTTAAATTGTTGTGATTTTAATGAAAGTTTACAGAAAACAGACGAGGCAGAGAACTGTATCAAAGGAATATATGATTAGGTATTATTTGCATGACAAAAGTTCAGAATAAGGGCTGCATAGTAAAGTGGTCTGGAGGGGGGGTTCTATATAAACTTTCATTAAAATATCAATTAACCCCCCCAAAACAAAACAAAAATGTTTACAGAAAAGTTGAGTTTAAATTAATTTATTGCAGTTTGTTTTTCTCTCTCTTCCTTCTTTCCCCCTCCCCCAGCCCACTTTATTGGAGTTTTTATTATTATTCATCCATGCATCCATCCATCCATTGTTGCATAGGCAAGTCTCTTAAAAATTTCTTTATTTTACTAAGAACTCTAATACCGAAACATTTCTCCTACACTGAAGCATTGACATCTTTTTTTTTTTCTTCTACAATATTTACTCTTATGGAACTGAGTTAGTTCACTCAGGATAATGCTCTCCGGTCCCTCCCAAAGCATTGACATCTTGAAATGAATTTGTAGGTGTCTCATAGGAGGGGCCAGTGACCTCTGGTGCTTTTAGTGGTAAGAAGTTGTGCTGCCAACCCAAAGATACACGGTTTGAATCCACCAGCTGTTCCGCAGAAGAAGGATGGGCAGTTTCCTTCCATGAGATTTACTGCCTCTGAAAACCTGCTGGAGGGTCAGCTGTGGGTCTGCTCTGACACTACGGTGCATCACAATAACAGTCGTCATCACAGGAAGGACCAGTCCTTAGAAGGAGACATCGAAATTGCAGATGAGGAGGGTTGTCGCTGTCAGTTTGCCAGCAACTTAACAGCGACACCCTGATAGGAGTAAGCACGACGGAGATACACCAGTCTGGGAGAGGATCAGAGAGCCAACCCAGCTCGATTTTACTGGGATAAGCACTGCACTTTTATAGGAACATGTAAACAAGAAGACCGAATAGGGTGGACTTGCAGACGTGGGACATGCAGATTCATGGGGGGGGGCGGGGGAACCTCAGCCTCATGCGGATCATTCCCAGCTCAACTGACACAGCAACTGTCTTCCCAGGTGGCAAGCTTTCTCAAGCTACAGCTAAACACAGGGGACCTTTCTCTACCCCATATTAAAGGTCATTGGGAGACTTGCACCTGTCTGGAGCTCAGGCGATCTCTCCTGGCCAGAAGCCTTCCCTTCCTCCACCACATTCTGTAACAGAGGGTCAGAGGAGGAGAGGAAGCCTTTCAATGAGGTGGACCTATGCCTTCAGCACAGTGGAGATGGCATCGATGGAGAGGGACAGAGCAGGCTTTTGATCTGTTGTACGCATTGTAGCCATCAATCGGAGTCAACTCAATGACACCTAACAACAACACACAACCAGCCCTGGTAGTCTTTGCTGTGTCAACCCTGAACTCCATTTCTGCTTTGTGTTGTGCTTGGCACGTTCGCTCCATGAGAGCTTCTGGAGCAAAGTGAAAAACAGCAACTGCACGATATATGCGTCGTCTTGTGCTGCTTCCTAAGTGATTATGTTCCCTTCATCATCTCGTCTCTTTAACTGAGACCCAAGAACCCCATTCAATAAGCTTACACGTCATGCTTCCTGACATTTACTATAACCCACACATTGTAACTCCAGAGTGCTTGCCTTGACTGCAGTCTTTACAGAAGCAGGTTGCCAGGCTTCTCTTCCGCAGCACTCCTGAGTAGGTTTGAACACCAGTCTTGAGGTGAGTGTTGTTGTTGTTGGTGTGTGCCTTTGAGCCAGAATTGGCTTGTTGCTGACCCTCCCATGGGTTTTCAGAGCCGGTAGATTGGAGGGGAAGAGCTTGCCCATCCTTCTCTTGTGAAACAGCGTGGTGGATTCGAACCACTTCTTTTTGAGTTGGCTGCATTGGTATCCCAGAGGCCACTCCTTCCACCAGCAGCTCTGAGGGAGAAAGATGGGCGCTATCTCCTCCCATGTGGTTTACAGCCTTGGAAGCCCAAGGGGAGGGTCAACAATGGATGGGTTCTGAGTCGACAGCAGTAAGTGAGGGAGCGTTTCTGTTCAGCGCTATGGGGCCAGTTCCTGTTTACAGCAACTCTGTGAACAACAGGATAAAAGCTGCCTGATCCAGCTCAGTCCTCACAGTCTCTGCTGAGGGGAATCCATTGCTGCAGCGGTTGGTGGCAAGGCCTCCTCTTTTTTTAATGACTCCCTGTTTTTACCAGACGAGCCTGGCTGATGTAGTGAGTAACACGTTGAGCTGCACCCAAAGGGCAGCAGTTCGAATCAAGAAGGTGATCTCTGGGAGAAAGATGGGTAGTCCCTTCTTTAGCAAGCAGCGTTTGTTGAAGAGGTTATCATTTCCCCATTCGATAGCTTTGATTTCCTTGTCGATTATCAGTTGACCATAGATATCTGGGTCTATTTCTGGGTTCTTGAATCTGTTCTATTGGTCGATGTGCCTGTCACTGGACCAGTACCACGCTGTTTTGGTTACCACTGCTGTATAGTAGATTTAAAAAAAATTTATTTTATTTCATTATTTTTTGTGTGTACCGTCAAATCAGATCTGACTGGTACAGGAGGAGATTGTTCCTCCTTCTCCAGCAGAGCATCTGGTGGATTTGAACCACGCACCTCTGACACTGCAGTTGCAGCTTCTTGCCACTAGGCCACCAGAGCTTGCCTGTATAGTAGATTTTGAGGTCATTGAGTGCTATGCCTCCACCCTCACTTTTGTTTCTCAGAAGTGTTTTGCTTATTCGGGGTCTCTTGTCTCTCCAAATAAATTGGATAATTTCCTTTTCAATCTACTTGAAAAATGAATTTGGTATCAGATTGGTATTGCATTGAACACGTGGATTGCTTTTGGTAGGATTGTCATTGTCACCGTATTGAGTCTTCTTATTCATGAACAGGGCACATTTTTCCATTTCTTTAGGTCTTTTATTGTGTCTTTCAGAAATGCTCTTAGTGGCAGTAAATTGCACGGGGTGGGGGGTGGGGTGGGGAATGCTCATCCTTCTTCAGCAGAACAGCTGGTGACCTTGAACTGTGTGCCTTTGGGATTGCAGCACAGTTTCTTGCCTCTAGGCCACCGTTTTACCCTGCTGGAGAAGTTTTTTGAACTGGGGGAGGTATGAGGGAGGAGAAAGAAATAGGGATGAAGAGGGAGGGAAATGTGCAACAATGAATGACTGAAAATGCAACTTTTCTGTAAACTTTTGTTGAAATCACAAAATTTAAAAATTTATTCTTTAAAAAACTGGCAACAAAGATTAGAGACACTAAGAGAAGTGAGTTTATATTAATGGAGAGGGACAGTTCAGAAGAAGAAAGTGAGGATGGTCATACACTTGAAATCCAATGTGACTGGATTTACTTTAAAAAATAAAACCCACCAAACTGCCTACACTTCATGTTTTTGAAGCTAAAATAACAGAAAGAGACTTCCTATCTTTCTGTTGCTGAGCTGTTTGTGAACTTTCAGCCTTTGAATTACCAGTGCAACTAGTTATGAACTATGACACGAGAGTTCCTAGAATTTGCATATAGAAATGGTTAAGTTGGTGTTTGTTTTGCTGTGTGTGTTCTCAACAACAATAAAATTTTTCTTTCACAGTTAAGAAAAAAAAAAAAGAAATGCTCTTAGTTTTCTTTGTACAGGTCTCTTGTGTCTCTAGTTACATTCAGGGTAGTCCCTTCCTTTTTTTAAAAAAATAATTATTCATTTTAATGAAAGTTTACAGAGACTTAGGGTTTCCAGTCATTCATTGTTGCACTTTTCTCCCTGCTTCCTCCCTCCCGCCCCCCCAGTCACTCTTATCCTTGAAAAGAAAAACTCTTTCATTGTTATACAATCTCTCCCCTCAAGTTCACTCCACTATGCAGCCTTCACTCTGGACTTCTGTAGTGACAAGAATACCCATTCACAAATCCCTTTTAAACAGATCTCTCCCTTATTTGTTTCAATGCAGCATACATCATTCCTCTCCTCCTTTTCTGTCTTCCCTCAACCCTGATGTCAGTCCCGTTTTATA